CAACAGAAATACTAAAAAAGCACTCATTTTTATCTTCTACGTGTACCATTTTTTGATGGTGAATCTCAATATTACAATTTATTCCACACCCTCCCCTCCCCTATACCCGCCCAAGTCCAGCTCCTGGCATCTTCCTGCTAATGAGCAAAGGCAGAATTATTTCTCCAAATCTGCATCTCCCACTTAAACTGGGCAAAAAAATGTAGAATCAACTACTGTCAATGTACAATTTTACACACGGTGTTTTTTAAACATAGTGCTCATTTGAACAACTGCCATACCTAATACATCCCTGAGACATTTACAACCTAACTAATAGCAAATACAACTCTATAAACAGAGTATTGATTCTAGCAGAAAACCTCTTTAACTACAAACCCTAGAGAACCTAAGTTTTTAAAAATCAGTAAATTTACAAAAGGCCTTTGTGTTTTGCAAAAGATCTCTGTGTTTCATAGGGAAAACTCATTATGGTTTTGACAAGCAGCATGAGAAATCTGATACTCTGGAAGTACCAAGAGATGCCAAGCGTTGGAATACGGTTCCCTACGTTTACTTTGATACCATCAGAGATTGCAGGAACACCGATTTGTTTTTCCCTCCCGGATGCTGCTGAGCTCTTCAGAAGAAAGAGAGCAGCTGATTTAGAATGCAGCACCAGCATCACACTGCAAAGGACTAACAGAGAACTGAGCGTGAAACTGTTTCTTATTTAAATGCTAAATAGTCTGCATGCGACTGTGGGGTGGAGAAATACTGGAAAACGAAGGTAGCATAGCCGTGCAGTTTAACACTGATGGCACTTGGTTCTGTGGTACGTACAGTTTAACACAAATTTCAACGCTGAGCAGGGTATTTTCTACAACTGGAGGCCAAAAAGGCAGCGCATGCCAGTATGCTATTAAATTTTTAAACAACGTTTTTTGTGAAATGTTCCTTTTTATCAAGGTGCAGAGTACTTTCACTAGAATGCCTGGATGCTAGAAAGCCAGCACACTAATTTAAACTGTTCTCTACAAATAAAGCATTTAACAGAAATCAAAGAGTAGATTGCATGGCTCACTCTGAAGCTTTAAAAATGTTCTGTCCTTTCAGCACCCCAAACCTCTTGTTACAGTCACTCCAGTGTTTAGCGTGTAAATAATCTGCTGAAAGATTATGGTTTAACAGCATATTATTAACTAATCATCAAACTTTGGAACCTAAAAACGGGACAGAAAGGAGGAAGATGCCAATAGACCATGGAAGCGTTTATGTAAGTATTTGCTCCTCCATGGTTTATTGATCAAACATAGCCACATTAATACAATATTAAGAAAGAACAACTGTAAAACAGAAAGAGTGGTGATTCTCAGAAGTACAACTCTATCTTCAGTTCAAGGAATAAAGCCTTTGTTTTGTCCTCACCACAAACTTAACTTGAAAGACAGATGAGTAAGAACATTTCTCCTGGATACCCTGCTCCATTTTATCTTGTTTTCCCATGCATGACCCACACAGAGAGCTGCAACAGCATTTTCCCCTTTCTCTTTTCCCATTTTGTGTAATGAACCACTCAATTAAAGCAAGGCATTAATGAGGAGAAAAAGATGAAAAAACATTTGAGCCCATAAACTGAAAGATCAACAAGTCTGATTTTATTATGATATTGTATTCTTATCTGGATGGCACATAATTACAAAGAAACATTTACAATATATTTTCAAGTATTAAGTTATGTCATTTCAAGGCTTCCACTTCAAAAAGCTACATTAATAACACACCATACAGATAGTACAGTCGGTTAGAATTTCAAATAACTTCCTCCCCTCTATTTGGTTTAAATATGATTCAGTAGGCACTAGAAATGCCTGCAGCCACTTACTTTCTTGGGACTTGACCTTGTTCTTGTACCGGTATACATCATTTTGCATGTCAGAAAATCAGCTACTCTCAGACACAGCTCACAGGTAGTTTCATGACTAGAGTGATGTGCAGGTTCACAACAGAGACCAGAACTAAGTCCCTGACCTCTACTGTTCAGCAGTGATGCAAAAAGAAAGAATGCATATTTAAGTTAACTTAAAAAACACTTCTACACTGAAGTAACTGTAAAAATGCCATTGTAACATCCCATACTTGCTACATTAGTGTTTCTCTTTTCATCACGCATGTTAAACTTCAAAATGAAGCGCGTTCATGAAGTCTGAGCTAGGCAGACTGAGCCTAGCTTGAATCTAACTCAATTATTTCCATGTTGCATATCAGTCAGTTCGGGTCCCGATGGTTAACTGATCCCTGCGGCACTGGTATAACCCATCAATTACAGCAGGGTTACACAATTTAAGACTGAAAACTGTTGATGCCACCACAGAGGTGTAAGGTAACACACATCCCACTAAGTCTCTTTTGTGCTGGCAATATACCCTGAACAGATGGAATTCTGCATACACTGGAGTAAAACCTGTTTGATAGGATATTGTCTTTTAAAAAAACATCCTGGATGACAGTAAATGATCCCAGCATTCAACCTTTTTTTTTTTTTTTAACCAAAGA